GCTGGACAAACTAAGTAATTACACCATTTCAAGCATTTTATCTGCGTTATATGTTCTGTAAAAAAATTTTCATATCTGCGGCGTATTCGCCGATACCGATATATCGGCAACAGGCTCATATCGGCCGATAATATCGGCAAAACGATATATCGGTCGGGCTCTAATTAGAATGATTTCTGAAGAATCACGTGACACTGAAAATTCAGCTTTGATCACAGAAATAAATTAAATTTTAAAGTATATAAAAATAGAAAACTGTTATTTTAAATTGCAATAATATTTCACAATTTTACAGTTTTTTTTTGTCTGTATTTCTGGTCAAATAAATGCAGCCTTGATGAGCAGAAGAGACTTTTTTATGACTAAATTTGGTAATGGGTGAGTAAAATTATTTTTAAAACGTACACCGTTCAAACTAGGCTGCTTATGTTGAAGTGTTTGGGATGTGGCTTTTAATGATGAGACCTTTTTTGTAATCAGGCTCTCAAAAAGTATATAAAAATTTGGATATAGATTTATCGGCCAACATATCGGTTATTGGCTTTCAAAAATAAAGAATTATCAGTTATCGGTATCGGCCAAAATGTTCATATCGGTGCATCCCTAATCTTTAATACTTCTGGCGTTACAGCCATGCAAACTTTGGGGGGAAAAACACAAAACATGCTTTTTCCCATTTCTGAACCGTCACCATTGACACATAATTCTGATTGAGATTAACAGTTGTGCTGAACTGAATGGCGGTTTGAGTTGAATTGTGCTTGTTCTCCATCGTCTGGTGTCTGCAGACATTTTACACTCCCAGTCTGGGCGATGAGGATCTGGATCTGGACCCGGACTCGGCGCTCGGCGTCTCTGGCGTGGTGTCTGATTTCGGAGAGCTGGGCGACGGCGTGCCGGCTGGAGTTCCCGGGAACGCTGTGGTCGGAGGGAATGACCCGTCGTTCGCCTCGACCTTCGTGAACACGCCGTCTCAGAGTCTGGAGCACCTGAGTCTGATGAGCCAGCAGAGCGGCGGACCGATGCTGGGGTCTGTAATGGGAATGGTGCGGAACAACTCCCTCACACGCACACTCACACACACGCACACACTCACTCGCACACACACACTCACTCACTCACTCGCACACACACACACTCACTCA